CATCCCTAACTGCCTCTCAGACCCATTCTCTCGAACTAATTCAGAAGCGTGCCCTGCATCTCATCCTGAGTCCCAATTACTCCTCATACGAGGCTGCTCTTGCCTCCCTCAAACTTCCCTCTCTGTAGGAAAGGAGAGCTATCCTCACTGCCAAATATGGTGCCTCCCTCTTGAGAAATCCTGACCGCCGACACGTTCTACCCCCCTATCGAACCCTGACCAACTACAATCTTCGCCACGACTTGACAAAACTCCTGTGCGAAATTAAATGTCGCACGAAACGTTTTTATGACTCTACAGTTCCCAGTGTGACCAGATTACTAAACAAGGCTGTGTGACCCATCCTGTATCAGTTCCCCATTTTTTGCCATTCTTACCTTTTACTGTTTTCCGTTTTCTTTTTCTTTTTTTTTTTTTACCTTTTTTTCGTTTTGGTGCTCCCCCTCTCTCTGTGACCATAACATCCTCATGCTTTTATCTGTTTTTTTTTTTATTTTTATTTCTCCCTATCCTGACCCATTTTTGCTTTTGTAACTCGTACCTGTATGCCTGACGCTGGATATCAATTTGCTTTCGCATTACCCCTCCCATTTGAAATGAGCCCTTCATCAGAAGTACTGAGGGTACGTATATACCTAGAAGTGCTGGAGCTGCCATTTTGACCGCTATATTAAAAATAATCTAAAATCATTGTTCTGTAACATTTAATTTCTTTTTTAAGTTGCCAAAAAAAAATTATACGAAATCGATCGCTCAGAACTCGGACATATTTTTCCCATGCGACGGAGGAGCGAGGGCGGCTGCGCGCGCCTCTTCGGCTGGACTAGGGCTGGGCCAATCGCATGCGGAGAGAGCAGGCAGGTCGAGCATATTCGACATTTTCTCCTCGCATGGAGCGGGATCTTTATCGACTTCATTTTAAATTGCGTAGAATCTGCTGCACGTGTCGAATGTGACATGATAATTTTTTTAAGCAGATCACTTAAGTGATGTTCTGTCTGCAAGCATGTAAAGCCGAAAATATTTTTCGTCTGCTCCTCCTGGTAGTTTGAAAGGGGGTCGAAGACGAACCGTTTCCCCAATCTGCATGCAAAAGGGGGAAAGAGCGAAGCAATGCTTCGGATGGGTTAGTCCAGGTATCGTTTACATGAGCAATATGAAAATAGCTTTCCTGAAGCTGAGCTGGCATGAAAGATGTGCAGCACTTGATCGCAGGCTGGACTTGATCGCAGCCTCTCCAAGGCCTCCAACTTTTATTTGTGGGACCTTCAGCTTCATATAAACGACCTTCAGGACGTGAAATGCATCGTGCTCGAGTGGATAGGATCATTCTAGCCAACATGGTTCATCTGTTTGTATTTCTAAGTCATCGAAGCTTGAGCTGCCCCTCTTGAGAAACCATGCTTACAGGCGACTGTTTTCGTGAGGCCCGTTCTTCACCGCGGCATGCCCACCAGGTGGAAACCCATTGAAGACGCACGAACTGCGCATGCGCGGTCCATCCGGTCCATCTTCCGCGGCGTTCTGATTTTGCGGCTACATTTTCCCTTGGGTTTTCCCCGGACTTGAAGAGCCTCTTCGACGAGAAGTTGGCGTCCTCGACCCCCCGCGTCGCTCGATGCAGCATCGCGAAGCGGAGGAAACCGGCCTTTCACCGCCTCCCCATGCGACCTCGCTGCTCGGACGCCAACATAAAGAGACCACGAAACCGCGAGGGGCATGCGCACTCGAGGCGACTCCACGTCCTTACCCCAGGATTGGCATTTCGTGCAAGTGCAATGGGCTCCCGATCCTGCTTACATCTTCTTATACAGGGTTGCCACCTTTCCAAGGCTACAAGCGTGTGGCCTATTGCTTTGACTTATATAAAGGGGCGGTTTTAGCTGCTCTTAAGCTTTATTAATTCGATTAAAATTAACAAGATGGAAATATGAACAAAACAGTGTCCATATTAAGACCAGTTTGCAGTACTGTCCATTCTAATTACGAAAATAGTGAAACCCTATTCGTATGGAGCAGTGGTGCACAACCTTTTCCCCGTTGAGGGCCAAAATTTAGATTTCGGCTCGTGTTTGAGGGGATGGAGGGCCGCAGACCCTCGAACATGAGCATGAATAGGCCGCATATAAATATGGATCTTTAGAGACCGGAGGCATCCAAGGGGCCGCAAAAAGGGTCAATGCGGGCCGCGGGTTGTGCATCACTGCTCTAAAGCATACAAATCGCTATCCTCTCGGACGGGGAACGTAGATGACTTCGAACTATCCGATATCGAATTAACGAGGTTTTCCTGTATCTTGCACTTTCGAGTCCTTCCATTCAAGTCCATCTGAATGGACGGGCATGAGGAGTGTCAACTTCCCAGGTCTTCTGTTTCAGCTATTAAGGGAACTGAAATAGAAGAGACGAGAAAGGATACGAATTAGTCATTATTCCGAGTTTTCTCTCGCCCGAGCCTTCCAGTCACGGTCCGGCGTTTCTCATCGCCTCGGGTCATGCGAGCTGAGAACATGGCATGTCAATAATTGAAGAATAGTGATTGCAAAAAATAGGTATCACGCCCATATTAATTTAAATTGGAGTATGATGTTATGTAATGTGATAGAACTTACGCGTAGAATGTTCCATGAAGCCCTCATAGATGGTCACGTCATCAAGTCATCACGGTGGTCTCATTTTTCAACCTGAACGAATCACGGCATGGACGGTTACTAAGCGTTTCGTTGCGTTTTCTTGGCTCCATCTCGAAAATTGAGAGTTTGTCTTCTTTTTTATTATAAAGAAAATTTAATTTTCTTCAGCTTACTTTTAAGGTGACCAGCGGGTATGAGAATCATGCAAGATAGTGCTATTTTTTACATTTTGGCTGGGAAAATGCGCCTTCGTCCCCCTGCGCGCTAATAAGGTCAAGTTAAGGAGACTCCTGTCTCCCCCCCCCCCGCTCAAACGCCATGAGCCAAAATCTGTTTAAATAATGAGAATCAATTTTTTTCTAATGGAATTTAAATTAAAACTATAGTTATATATGAAATATTCAGTATAATATAAAGGTTCCTCATCGTTGTTGAAGAAAGTACATTCTATGGACATTTCATTTTAATGTACTGCGATTGCATAATGGACAAATGTTCAGCCATAACCGCAGTTTAAAACGTATGGATGTTTCAATACCCTGTGTCAATATCAGAAGGCTAAAAATGAAAATTTTCTTTTTAAAATGCAAAGAACAAGCATCGATATTTTTTATGCATGATACAGAAATCATGAAAAGTATACGAAAGTATGATTTGAAAACTTAAGCTTTCCTTGGTTTTTGCGTGATTTCGTCTTTGTGACTTTTTTCCACTCATGCCGACTCTGGGGAGGGGTAGGTCTTTTTCCGGGTGACTTATTTTTTTCCAAAACCCGTCTTTTTTGCTGCTGCGTGGTTTAATTCAGCGCAATTTGATCTGTGCTAGGTCAAATTTGACCTACATGATTTGATGCCCTTAGTCGTCTACGTGAATCTCTGAAACCGGGCGTAAATTTCAGTTCCTCCGTGTGTTTGACATCGAACGAGAGTTGTCGCTATGCGACACTCTCGAGAGGAAGAACGGCTGACCGACGTTGCCGCGACATTTCTCCTAGCTCAATTTTCCGGACGATTAAAAGTTGCTCGCCGCGAGATCTGCTGTCACATTCCGTTCTTCCCGGTTCTGCTTCCACAAACCGTTTTCTTTTCGCTGGTCTTCGCGAGACGCATGAAACCCCAGTTCGGATCGATGCTTGGTCATCCTCCAGCGAATCCATGATGAAAATCGCCCTCGTCTCGCATCGCGATCCGTTGACGTTATTTTTCAGCTTCTTCTCGAATACGATTTTAAGAGCTGAGTGCAGTAGTGAGACGTGATAACTGACGTGCGCCCGCATCGATTCAGCCTCGCATCTGCCTCTATCGTACTTCCACGTTCTTGTCGGTCGCTCACCGCGATGAGTTGTTCGCGCCCGGCGACCTTAAATCGACCCCTGATACTTGCAAGCTTGTCGACGGTTTGGGGAAGACGATGAACCTTCGTGACCCATGAGATTATATGCGTCATGTCACATAGAAGAAAAAGGGAAAGGAATAACTGCCGGCGCGACGTCCGATGAAGACATACGATTCGATGACTGCTACTTCTGTAACGTCAGTGGATCGGGGAGTACTGGAGGAATCGGGAAGGAGGCATAGGGTCGGACAGTCGCCATGGAAACCTGTCCGTTTCGTGTCTAGAGTTCAGTGCGTAAATGAACACCCCCAATTGGGAGGGATAGCGTGATTCCCATCCACTCTTCGATAATTCAGGCACACGACAGATGGGGGAAGATATGACATTCTCGGGGTTCCAGGATCCCTAATCGCACTCGTCGGATCGAGCTGTGACTCGTTCGCGTCTTAGCTATTCCCCCTCCAACTCATGGGAGCCGTTATTTGTGTGGAAAAGTGCGTGACGGAATGTGAAAATTTGGCCGTTCATGGCCAGGGACAAGGATACGGACCGGGAAACGTCCCTTCTTCCTCGAGCCCATTTCCTTGCAGTCTCTGTGGAAAAGAACTTCAAGGAGTCTTTCAACTGCAGCATGAAACTTACGAACGCATCTTATATCCACGAGCGGTGAGAGATTTAGATCCAAATCCAAGAGACGATAAGCTCTATCGTCACGGAAAGATGAGGAGGAAGGAGGGAGTGGTGATGAGAGAAATGCCTCCTCAGGCCTCTGCCCTTTCTGCCACCGCGGCTAACGACTTTCCTCTCACGTTTTCTTCTCGTGAGCACCCTTCCACTTCTTTTCTTCTATCGATCGATTCGCCAAATTCGATAAGCAACTGTGGGGAGGGGGGTAAACAGTCAGTCCAGGGCGGTCACTGGAAAGGACGGAGTCGGATGACGCTGGGGACATGGAAGATGACGAGGATAGAACTGAAAAAGATCCTGGAACACGGAACGTCTTGGTCACTTGTCAACATGCTGCCCAGCAGTATGATGTTTCCACTTCGTTAAACACCTTCCACACCTTCGTTAAACACCTTCCTTGTTTTTTTTATATCTCCCAGCCCGTAAATTTTAGTTTTCTTGGAATAATAACGCGTTCCCCGTTGCAGGCTACGGGTTTTGGTTTTGACTTTGGACGAGGGGCACACTCTCGACAAGGATCGTCTCAAGGAATGCCTTCAGTTTGCAGCCAGGGCTCTTGAACTCGCTCAGACCAGGTGAAGTGCATCGAATTATCTTTTATATCTCTCCCAACAGTTTCCATAGAATCGGTACTATGCGACGAGGGTTCGTCTCTTTTATTTCGAGGATTGGATGATCCAAGCAAGTGTAAATCTACTAGGAATCGGAAAAATAAGAGCTCTGTCCACTGTTGGGCTTTCTTTTCCTCATCGAATGCAAGACTCGTTGCTCAGGGGCGGTGGTGGTGTATGATGTACGGTGTATTCGTGCAGGTTGCCGCCTGCGGACGAGGTAGAAGTGACGGAATTCGAGGAATTATCCCGACCAGGGAACGTGCCGGTAGAAGTGCAACAATGGTTGGCCTCCACGTTCACGAGGAGATTCTCCAAGAGTCACTCGAAGAAGCGACGTCGATTCCGATCCGTCGCCACGGCCATCTGCGCTGGGCTGGCCGTGGAACGCATCTTTCGACGTCTCTCCGCTTCCTACTTCCCTTCCTTCCCCGAGGAAGTGGAGGCATTTCTCAAGGTCTAAATTCTCCCCTTCGTCTTTCGCATTCATCCTCGGTCTCGCGTCGAAAAACAAAAGAGGTCGTGATTTCTCTTCTAGGGAGTGAACGAATGGGAGTTTGACGTGTTCGAATTCCATCGACTGTCCGAGGGCTTCCCCCTGCGATACATGGCTTACGAGCTCCTCAATCGATACGGGATCCTTCACCGATTCAAGGCAAGACATGGGGCAAAATGTCCACGGGTGGCACGCATCTCACCGATTTATGCGCTTTAGTGTTAACTTAAACGGACCCGATTGGACTGTTCAGTGTGCACGTATGGCTCCACATTTTCTTCGGACCAAAAATTTAAGCCGCGAAGAAAAATGCGTAATGGTATAGAAATGTATATATATAAATATGGTATAGAAATACCATAATTATATCCAATGACGTTGAAAATAGTCTGTTACACATTCTTGGATCCACATGTGGCTGGGTAGCACTCTCCCTGCGAACGACAAAAAAAAGGGACTGGTTACCTGTTACTGTCAGGCTCGGCCCATTTCTTGCAGCTGAAGCTCTAGCAACATCATTGAACATAAAACTCGGATTTCCTCTTCAAATTTTCCTCAGCCTTCTGTAATTTGTCAGCCTGGCATGTCAATAATGATGAAATTCCTTGCATATAGGTTTGCCAGAATCATGCAATTTAGGGATTCCTCAATCAGAGCATTTTGGAGGCACCCATCAACGATACAGATTAGAAAGTAGATTATCGGTACAGTCACATCGTCTTCCTCGTTTTGCTCCACTGCACTTTATTTATTTCAGGAATAAGCTATTAGCTCGGTTTGCTGCTGGCGCGATACGAAGAGATTTCGATGGCGGAAGGGACTGATGTCGATGGGAGCGACGTTGCAGGAACATTCCTAGTCTTAACACTTTCACTGCCGGACCTTTAAACTGGGAACGTCGCTTGAATGCCAATGCTTTTCGGGGTCTACGGAAATTTGTGTACAGTTTAAAGAAAAAAATTGCAGGAAGAAAATCCACTTGGCACTCAGAGGTGGGCGCATTGTGGAGTTATTTTCACATTATATTTCAAATCGACCTTTCTCAAAGACGGCATCCTTGGCAGGAGTTTTTTAAATCGACCATAGTCGACTTTGACAATGAATGTGCTGATAACGATGAAAATGCGGAGTCCGAACTTTCTCATTGGGCGTGAGCAGTGCAGTCCACGAATATTTTCTCCATTCGGGACATCGGATCGGTTTAAGCGCAGCAGATTTGGTGCTTGCGAACCAATGTGATGGGAATATGGAATGGCTCTGCAGGTCTCTTTCAAGGACTTGGAATGCTTCGTGAAGAGGCTGGAGGCTGGTTACGGATTGCACAAGAACCCATACCATAACAACACCCATGCCACGGACGTGACTCAGACCGTCCACAGCATTCTTTGCCAGTCTTCCTTGGCCGTATGCCTTCATCATCATTGTCGTCGTCACGACGATCGTTTATATAATTTTATTTTATTTTTCTTCTCTGCTTCCGAAGACGTGGCTGAGTCATCTGGAGATCTTTGCGCTGCTGTTCGCAGCCATGTGTCACGACTACGAGCATACAGGAACGACGAATGACTTCCACGTTATCACCCGATCCGAGGTCGCCTACCTCTACAATGACAAATCCGTCCTGGAAAATTATCACCTCAGTCAAACCTTTAAGTCAGTCTCACCCCGTTGATCGTGGATTCTCGAGTGCAACCGCGAGAGGAGATTCTTAAATTCTCTCTTCACCGATCCCAGATTAGTTAGCCAGAGGGAATGCAACATTCTCGGGGGTCTGAATTCAGAAGAGTATCGAGAGTTCCGGACCTTGGTCATCGATGCCGTTCTCGCCACGGATATGGCCACCCATTTCGAACAAATCGCCACCGTTCGTCGCCAACTCGTCCGGCCTGAATTCGAGTCTGACCACGAATCCGCTATCTACAAAGACCAGTGGCGTACGCAAGACTCAAGGAAGTGGGAGGGCTCAGTACTAAGGTTGTACTAAGTTGAATGATGACCAGCGGTAGTGAGCTGCCATGGTCCAAGGGAAGGGCTCGGGCCTCCTGAGCCCTCCCCCTGAGTTACGCTACTGATCAAGACATAAGAAACAGTAAACTTTCTGATCGAAGAAAGACGATGTTGACGGCGTCCTCTCTCTCTCTCTCTCTCACAACAGCATAGAAAAGACCCAGGTGTTGAACATCGTACTGCATTGCAGCGATATCTCGCATGCAGGGAAGCCATGGTTACTGCATCGGAAATGGACGGATTTATTGTTGGAGGAATTCTTTAATCAAGGGGATCGAGAGACGGAGTTGGGTCTCCCTGCCAGTCCCCTGTGCGATCGCCATTCAACCCACGTCCCTGACTCCCAGATAGGTCTCCGTCCCTTCCTTCTTCCTCGGTCAGGTTCACTTCCCCGGTTTCTGTTTCTGCATCCTACTCCTGTAGGCTTCATCGACTTCATCGTGTCGCCAACGCTGACCTTGGTCACACAGCTGTTGGATTCAATCGACAAAGTTCTCGAGCCTTTGACAGCTGGAGCCTCCATGGAATTATCTGGCCCAACCTCGGTCAAGAAGAAGCTCTCCGACATCCCCGAAAACCATGCCAAGAACACATCCAATTCGAGTCTCAAGCTTTTCTCGCGCCTTTTACCATATACTTTATTTTAATCAGTTTATTTTATGCGTCCGATCTGTCTGGTGCAGAGGAAGCGGAGCATGCATCCAAGGGAGGAGATAAAGATGGGAGACCTTGGGGAAAATACTTGATGGAGAACAGAAATAACTGGCTTCAGGAATCGACTAAAGGTGAAATCCCTAATCCCTTCATGCGGCATGACAGTATGATTCTTAATTTATCAGACACGAGTTTTTAGTGTAGACCCCTGTATTTCCTCATTCAACCATTGAACCATCTCAAGAAACCTTTCGCTTTAAACGAAGGCCCCGTAGCATTTGACCACTACGAATATGTGGCGTGCATGCGTTTGTGTTGCACGTCCGTGGTTCAGTGTGTCTCCATTTGCTATTGGGATTTCTCCCCGGAGATTAAGTTTATATTATTCAATATTAGTATATCTCAATGACGGAAGCAGTCACCCTTTTGCACATAATATTACGTACGTCATTCTTAAACTTTTAAAAATTATTCCCTCTGGGTGACGCTTTTCTTCTCTTGCCTACCGCCTTTTACGAGGGTCACTCGGAAAGTTTCCGGATGCGGACAATAGAAAAGAACTTGGCTTTATTCAATACCACCTTTTCGAAATATCTCCCTGAGCATCGATGCAATTTCTCCCCCTTGTAAATCATTTCTCAAAGCAGTTTTTCCACTCAAATGTTGGGATACCCGAGATGACTGAAATACGAGGTAAATTCAGCAACTGCCTCTTCTGGAGACTGAAAACGGCGTTCACGTAGCGAATCTTTAACTCTTGGAGAGAGAAAGAAGTCACGTAGAGTCAGGTTTGGACTTCAGGGTGGGTGTGGGATTACCCTGATGCCAGATTTATGCAAGGAATCCGAAGTGAGGGCGGGTGTGTGACTGGACGCATTGTCATGATGGAGCATCCATGGTTTCAAATGATGAGTTTGGCCTTCGATTCTTCGGAGATTCGAACACCTATGGGAGGCAGGATTCTGTGCACCATTTCGAGGTCACACTCTTTTGACCCTGAACAGGTAAGGGTGCTATGTGATCAATGAAAGAGAAGGAACTAGCCTCCGTTTGCCTTCCCACACTTCTGAGCCACTTCACCATGGTTGGGGTTGGGTCACACGGGAAAGGCCAGACGGTGGATTGGTGCTTTGTCTCTGGGTCAAATTGATATACAGTATACAATTTTAATCTCCTATGACGTCATACACGGCTTTTGAAGACCCATAGTTGATCTTCTGAAGCATGAATTCACATCATTTCACCCAGGCCTGCTTTTGACTCGGAGTGAGATCATGTGGGACCCATCAGCTGGTGACTCTCCTCAGACCAGGCTGTCTGTGCAGGATCTCATTCACTTCTGCTGACCAAACCCCAAGTGGTGCTTGAATGTCCTCATATGTAATTCGATTGTCCTCCTCAAACATCTGTGCAATGGCCACATTTTCATCTGTCACTGCAATTTGTAGCTGGCCACAGTGAGGCTCATCTTTGAAGGACACCCTTCCCCACGGAAACTGCAAACCATTCAAGCGCAATACTAGGTACTACGAGATAGTGCTTCCTCTCGAAAGGCCTGTTATAGGCGTTCAAGTCAATCTTTGTGCGAAGTCCACTTTTGAAGTAATAGAAAGTCATTGCTCGGGAAGTGCTCACGTGACCAACTCATCCTGAATTTAGGTAATCCCTAAACATTAAAAGCATATTTTTAAAAGTTATGAAACCAGTTCAAGGCAACGATGAACTCTGGATGCTTGTTTTTTTCATAGGCTTGTACTGATTGTCTTTACTGGGAGAAAAATTCTCAGCCTGAGAGGAGGCATCAGAAGGCAGCATCCGGAAACTTTCAGAGTGACCCTCGTATATGCGATTTATACTAGTACCAGTTGCAAATGAATAGGTTTTCGCTTGGTTAGCGGGATTTTATTTGTTTATTTTGGCTGTATGGAACCTAGAGAACGAGAGGAGATTTTTTGAAGATGATCCAGGGATTGAGTCCCTCTGAGACGATCCAGGTCATGATCCGTACATGAGTTGTGACTCGCACCTTTCCATCTACTTCAGTGTCATTCTTCACACCCAAGTCCCACGCGAAGTTAGAGAGTTTTTCTCTCTATCTCAAGAATGTTGTGCGATAAGTGAGACCCAGCAAGTCCGTCGGACTGTATTTTGTTTAGAGTTCGGACAGCCGTGAAGCTGCATAGTGACCCTCCCATTCTAAAGTTATACCACCGAGGACAACTTGGAAGACCGCCTTGAGCCAATAAGAAAATTCAAGAGGAACTTGCCCAAATACTTCCTTCGGTGTGTGCCCAAAAATTCCCGGCACGTTCCATACTCATCTCCCTACATCGGGTCAACTTCCTTTGTCTTGGCTTGCTTTGGTTTATGGGTTGAAATCCATATCATGGCTCTCCATGACGAAAACATGAAGTACGAAAGGAGGACAAAAACACGAGTACAAAAGCAAGAAGGAAGGTCACATCACGAAATAACAAAAGAAGATCGTCTGTACGGTGGATGAAAAAGAGGTTGAGTTTTCACATACGACTTTGTCTTTTTTTTTATCGCGGGAGAGTTTTTCCATGCACTCCTATATCTGAACGACTGCTTGTAAGATTTGGTGTTGCATTTGGGCATGGTACATTTTAATGTCTAGTTTTCCGCTTGGAGATTGCTTGACGTTCAGTGAACATGGATTTTATATAAACAGCAGCTTTTCCTTGATTGTTGGCTTTGAAAAGTATTATGAAATCGTTCTTTTTGTTGTTTGACATGGTCCCATTGCAATGTCTCCAAATTTTGAGAAACGTGTTTAAATTTTCCTAGTCCAACTGATGAGTAGAGCTGTAAAGTGAGCGATTTCTATGTTCTTTGCAGCATTGATGAGGCTGTATTTTCCCAGACTGGTGAGCTACGACTAGGAATTCTATGATAACATTGAGAAGGGGTCAGAATAGCATATTTCTCATTTTGTTTAGTGCACTCATCAGACAGTTGCATCTCTTGTCTAATGTGGCGACTTGAAGTTTCCACTTTAACAAGGGATCGAAAGTGACTTAATTGCTTTTTATTTATTGTATCTTAATAGATTTAAACTGGATTTCAAGTGAGGGTGATCTTACAGACTTGGTGCGAATCTTATTGTGTCTGACCAATGTTCAGTTTCTGGTGACTAGATTGGTAGTAGCACTGTAGTTCCCTGGTATTTAACTCCATATTTCTCTCCAAACTGTTACGATTTGATGGTGGTGCTCTGGACGCCACCAGCATGTTCGGTGATGGTCTCATCCCTGAGGAATGTTGCAAGATCATTGGTGTTCGGGGAAAGAATGTTGGACCTAGAATGCCACGTTGAGGGGCTGTGTATTGTATGGGAAGTTTCCCCCATATTGCTTTCTTCCGTGGAGGTAGCTCGTAAAGCAGGGGTGGTTGATTCCATACTGGCAGAGTATGTCAGCTGACGCAGTCGGATGTTTTAGATCAGTCTGACAGCTTCAAAGAGATGGCCAATCCTTTAGTTGTGTTTTATTGATGGTCCACAATATGGAGGGCTTGCTCTGTTGAGTGGTTCCTCCTAAAGCCGCAAATACTTGGATGAATCAGATGGTCGGATTCAATGACGCTCCTTTGTCGGTAGTCGACCAATCTTTCCTTCAATTTGAACAGGAGAGAGAGAAGAGCTATCGCTCGACAGTTTTCTGCATCCTATTTTAGCCAGACTTGTGTATTGGGACGACTCTGGCCATTTTCCATTCTTCTGGAAAAAAAAAAACCACTATTGAGAGTGTTATTGATAATGCGAAGTATGTGAGGCGGGACAACTGGAAAGTCATTCTGGAGTGACATGTTGTCAACATGATCTTGAAGATTTGAAACTAGCCAGTGCATGGCTGAGTTTCAGCAGTGTGACTGGTATCATGATGGAGTCGCTGCACACTTGCGTGAGGAGGCAAAAAATGACTGGATGTGACTGATTTTAAAGTGATTTGATTTTATGTTATTCTCTACGCTTGCAAAAATTAGGTGCGGTTCTCTAACAATGGGGATCCAGAATAGCGGCGTTCATGGAGTCTTTCTTGGAGTCTGTTGGCACCCGGGCTTTCACATTTTTCCACAGGAGTTTTGGTTTTGGGAGGAAGAGATAGCGGTTTCATTTGCATTGGGACGCATCGATGACGCTTTATCGAAGTTTCATGAAGGCTTTCAGTTTTTCATTGACATCGTCTCCGCCATGAAGGTCTTCACATGGTTGGATTAGAAGATCATACAAAAGGGCTTCCTTGCAAAGGTGTTCTTTGTCGATCAGAAGTAGATTATATCAAACCAACTTGATTCTGACCCCTTGAATGGTGGAGAAAATCCTCCTTTCGCCCTGGTGTGTGCAGAGGGTGAGAATTAACCCCTCGAGGGATTCACATTTATATTTTGGAGAGAGACCTGGAAAAAAAAAGGAAGAAAGCAGAGTGGTGGGCGAACTGACTCAATTTTTTCCCTCAGTATTGAAATCGACTTCATTCAGTGTCCTCTCCGCAATTCTCCCTCAGGGGATTTCCGTCCAGACGAGCGCGGAAAGGGAGACGGAAAAATTAAGAAAAGAGACTGAATGCGAGGAGTCATACCTGCCGTTTCTTCCCTCAATAGCCTTATGCTATTGAGGGAAGAAACCCTTTGCAATTCAGCCCAGATATTCAAGCCCCGCAGACAATTGGGCGACAAACACAAGATCCGTCTCACCGTAACTTGATCAGATGCCATGTCATTTTATGGAATGTGATTAACCCAAATGAATCGGACCCCACATCGGCTCATTTATGAAGCTAATTAGTTTCTGCTTTACCTATTTGGTACGTGACACAAATCGGAAAGACGGAAATCAGTAAGCCTCCTTTTCTTGTTTATCTGCCTCTGCTTCGCTACAGACCTCCGAGGGCAAAGCCTTCCGAATGTGAATACATTTTCCAGAATTTCTCCAAGAAAGAATCCCAGCTAGAACATGTAAGAATGATGTTAAGCTCTATGGCATAAATGATCGATGTGAACTGCCCCGGTTGAAATTGTACTCGATCGTTCTCAATTCCAAGGATCATCTTGGATGAGGTATCCCTCGATT